GTATATTATACAGAAAAAGTGCAAATATCACCAATACAAGGACAAAAAGAAGCAAGCTCGTGACTGATTATACAACCAGCAAAAGATACACATGGGAGATGCAGATCACGGCAAGCACAAGGCAAATGTATAAACATGGAGTTTTGCCAACCTTTTGACATTATAAAACAGTTTCCTCAGTTGAACAGATTTGCAAACATTCATGAAACTGCACACCAATATTAAAGTGTCCTATTCTTTTCTATGGGAGTAACAATACTGGCACATTTCAAGAGCAAAGCTTACCATGAGTTTTAACCCCTCGACGAGCCATCAGAGGACCAGACTTCCTGTGTTCACATAAGAAATAGAACTGAGCAGAGACTGCAGCATCGACTTGAACTGCTATCGCTGCACTGCGCCCCCAGGCTCAGCACAATGCAAAAAGAAGCAACTGGTGGTGGCACTAAAGAACACATGCATGACAGGAGGAACACACACAAAGTGCTGTTCTTGATCTTTAGCATTGAGATGAAGAAGGGCTGAAGAGCCACAAAGTTATGAATATGGAAAAACACTTTTCATTGGCAAGCAAAGGTATTTGTAAATGATTTAGAGTGTGTTTAGAGCCGTGGTTCTCACCTATTGGGTCGCAACACAAAAGTGGGTCACAACACCGTGTTCAGTGGGTCACCACGTGCCTTCAACTGTGCTAGATGAGAGGCTCCTCAGCCTCCCCCTAGCCCAGCACTGTCAGTTCTTGCGCCGAGCAGCCATTCAAAATATGCTGTCTGGCGCCGAGTGTCAGCTTGAGGTGCGGTGGTCTGGGTGTATGGCCGCGAGGGAGCTCCATCCATATGTGCATTGCTTACAGCTACCTTGTGTGCCCTGTAGAGATACCACCGCAATGCCATGCTTTCCAGTCCGTTGCGACTTTAGTCGTCACCTTACGACCAAGGACAAATGTGGGTCCTGAGGTTACACAGGTTGAGAACCACTGCTTTAGAGTATTTCCACAACGGTAATGCAGAATATCAAATTCTGCAACATTATTTAATGTAACTTCTGAATATAGAATATTTCCACAGCAATAATTAGAAAATCACATTCCGTAACATTTATTTAACGCAAATTAGTGAACTTATAGCATGCTTGTCTGGAGATAAACAAAAGCAAAGGATAGTTCAAATAACTGTCTGATGTTAGTTATGAGTGTCACACTACACCGCAAATCAAATCTTAAGTGTTCATTTTTCCTAGGGAGCTAAAATAACAAAGTTATGCTGTCAAGGCTACTACTTGGATTATTCTGCCCCTTCCACGTCTCACCTATAACATTTTTATTATAGCAGGACTCTGGGCAAATAAAATCTTAATCCTTGAAGTTGGACTATCCCCTGCACTGCAAGGGTTAAGTGCTCATTTTGTCTAGGGAGCTCAAATAACAAAGTTATATGCACCTGAACTACGATCTTGACTGGCTTCCGCTCCATCGATGGTATGTGCCTTGGCATCCTCATGTTCTATACACTGTATAGAATGTGATGACTCACTGAACCTTAAGATGCCCATACACCTTACAATTATCGTTCACATTTTTTTGTCATCGAAACCCTGTTCAATTTCCGCTTGAATATTCCACCATGCACAAACCAATGTTGATTTCGATAATCAGTCATCAGCAATACTAACTGGCCAAATTTTGTCGATCGACATTTGCAGGGGGTAGCCCAACTGCAAGGGTTAAGATTTTATTTGCCCAGAGTTGTGCTTTAATAAGAATGCTATAGGTGAGAAGTGGAAGGGGCAGGATAATCCAAGTAGAACATAGATATAAAGAGCACAGAAATTAGCCTACAATATTATTAAAAGATCCAGCGGCCTTAATAGGATGTTAATAATGTCCTATCATATAAAATTACAGTGCATGAGCAATCCTCATAAAGATGTCATCTGTAAGGTATTTGTAATTCAAGGCATGCCCAAAGATTTGCAACAGTGGTTTGCATGCCCATTGCCCTAAGTACATTGTTATACACAATCATTTTTTGTTTCTTTTTGCTTTACACCATTTTGGAAAAAAGGCAATCTGTCAGGTTATTCTGAAATTTGCAAGTCCTGGGAACATCGTCCTCATGCTTGCTTTGCTATTTTATGAGCCAATGACTCACAACGAGCATGCGGCTAGTAAGGTAAAATGTCCCAGTTTGTATGTTGGTTCCAGGTCAATGACCTGCTTAAAGGAGAACTATGGGGTAAGTGTTTTTCCCCATAGCTTTCCTAAGGGTCACGGGAGGACATATACTAGCATCCTCCCGTGTCCCAAAGCTCAGCATATCGCGAGCTACAGCTCGTGGTATACCGAGACCGCCGCAGCCGGGACAGATCCCAACATTACTGTCAAGATCCACCCAGCTGTGTAAGTCTATACTGAGACGCCGCAGCTGAAGCGGATCCTGACAATTGTGCCAGTATCCACCCAGCTGCGTGAGTGACAGCTGGCTCTGCCTATCTAGTGGCAGAGCCAGTTGTACCCGCCCCCTCCCCCGTCCGTTCTGCCAGTCATGGCTGGAGGATTGGAGCGGGGAGGGGGAGAATCCCTGCAGGGAGCCGTGAGTGACTGAGTGACTGGTCTAGTGAGTGACTGGTCTAGTAGCCAGGTCTAGTGACTGGTCTAGTAGCCAGGTGGGACCAAGGATCATATGAATATATCTTTTTTATTTTCCTCCCTAGACAAAAACAAGCCGTCAACCCTTGCAGTGCGGGAGTAGCACAAATGAGATTTCAAATGTCTGCACAGGCCAAATAGGAAATAAGAACTATAGCTAATAATAATAAATATTTTGCAGTCTTGCTTTACAATATCATGGACGAAGCATTATGCTTTAAATGAAATATACTATAAAATGCTGGTTCACATTAAAGTAAAACTGGTTCATCTCCAAAGGTGCAATCTCATTTTAATTGTTAATCAAAATACGCCCTATAGGTATCCCTTGAGCAGCAGATGGGTGTGTGTTTGTGTGTAGTACAGCCTGCATTGGACAATGAATTACACACTGTAAGGGTTAAATAGTACAGTGTCACTTTCTGTTAAACCGACTCAAATGCACTGTAGTAAAACTGGCAGCCTGGTGTTCTCTTTTATTAATCTCAGTATTGCACAGGTGAACACTGTACTGTCACTGTATGTTATTAAATCTAAAGTGTACCTAAATTCATACACAAAAATGTAATATATTGCAGCTTACCAATCCTTAGATGTTGTGGCGACATTAGGGGGAACAATGGAGCCACCCCTTGGACAGCAGCATTGTCACCCTGTGGGGAGGGTAGGATTAGATGGACTAGCAGATTCAGATGGACTTGCCTAACAAATTAAATCTGAACTCCAGATAACACTTTTTAACCATCACAGCAACAGTTTTCTTGTCTATTTAGGATAAAGGTGTTAAATAAATTAATAAAAGCTGACCATTGTAAGCTCCCCTGTCAGTGGTCCTTGTCTAAACTAGCCTTTCTCAACCTGGGCGCTGTGGCAGACTGGTGTGCCTCCTGGCCTCTTCAGGGGTGCCTCAAAATGTTGTGGTACTGTGATGTCCATGATGGGAGGAATAAAGACTGATGTGAAGGGGGCTCCTGATGCAAAAGGGGAACTCTGATTTGAAAGGGGGGGGACTCTGATATGAAATAGGGGGATGTGATGCAAAAGTGAGGGGACTCTGATATGAAAAAGTTGCTCCTGGTGTGTAGAGGGGATCTTGATTTGAAGGTGCACTTCAATGTGAAGGAGGAAACCCATTTTTCGTGAGTTTTTTTCATTGGGTCCCGCTTAAAACTCTGATATGAAAGTAGGGTTTCTGGTGTGAAAGTGGGCTCCTGATGTAAAAAGGGAACTCTGATGTGAAAGGGACGGTGGTTTCAGATATGAGAGTAGGGCGTCTGATGTGAAAGTGGGTTCCTGATGTAAAAGGGAAACTCTGATGTGAAAGGCGGGGGGCGGCAGCTCTGATATGAATGTGAGGCTTCTGATGTGAAGGGGGGTACTGATGTAAAAGGGAAACTCTCATGTGAAAAGGGGGGAAGGCTAATATTAAAGGGGGGACTCTGATATGAAGGGGAGGGACTCTAATATGAAAGTGGGGCTTCTGGTGTGAAAGGGGGGCTACTGATGTAAAGGGGGGCTACTGATGCAAAGGGGGGCTACTGATGCAAAGGGGGGCTACTGATGTGAAGGAGGACTACTGATGCAAAGGGTGACTCTGATGTGAAGGAGGACTACTAATGCAAAGAGTAATTCTGATGTGAAGGGGGATCTTGATTTTAAGAGGGCACTTTTATGGGGTGCCTTGAGATTCTGCATACTTTTAAAGGGTGCTGTGACTAGAAAAAGGTTGAGGATCACTGGTCTAAGCCTTCTATCATCCACTTTTGCTGGGCAGCTTGGTCTATTAAAGGAAGTTTAATAATAACAGATATACTGGATGGATCACCAGGTGTAAATAAAAGGAAAAAAGCCTTAAAAATAAAACTAATACAGCCACCTAAGGACCGGTAAGCTGAAATATATGACCTTTTTTGCTTTTGGGTTTAGATACTCTTTAACCTCTTGCCGTCCGCCTGTTAAGAAAAAACGGACGGACGGCTGACTCCTATCTGCGGGTTGCCGTCGAAGTCTGGGAATATTGGAAGAAACATTTCTTTGTATTTCCCAATCCATCCTGTAGGTGGCAGCCTTCCCCAGCCCACAGTGTCTGCCTTATCGAACTAAAACAGCCCGTTATCTCTACAGATGCAATTAAACAGTACAAAAGCAAGTAAAAATAAACACACACAAGCAATAATAGTCTTCATTCCCTTTCATAAACAACCCCATGCATGTAAACCTCTGACACTAAATCCTATTCCTTTTGCAAAAACAATTCCACAGCAACAAAAAAACAAAACTGCAACCCTCAATGTTAAGGGACATTTAAGACTGCCACACATTATAGATGTGTATAATAAAGCTGGCTACTTACTTGGTTTAATTAAACAGTTTGATATCCACAAGTGAAGTTCACAAAGTATCCAATGTCTAGATTTTCCAAGTAAAACTTCAGCAGGGTTAAAAAAAAAAATAAATAGTAGAGTACAAAACCAAAGAGCAGCACCTTCTACCTTCTCTCCTTCATGACAGAGGTCTGAATAGAGCAGCTCTCAGCATCTCCTAAAATGTGAAACAGGGGCAGATGGACTGACTGGAGCCCAGAGTGAGGGAATCCCATCCTTCCTGCAGCTGTGCCATCACCTATTCTCCAGGCTGCTGTCTAGTTGCAGTTGAAAAGCATGCACATGAGATGAAGATTAGCACTTGCACTTGTCTGGGCTGCCTGTGCTTTGCGTTGACTTATATGGAGTCTGCATATCTCTCAGCTGCGAAGTGTACGCCTTTCTTTGGTGAAATCCCTTAGGGTATCCCTTCATGCTGTTTTCATCTCTCTGCTTTCCCAGTCGATTATCTTCTTCTGCCACTCTCTGAGTACTTCTCTTTCCTCCCACTCTGAGGTGAGGCTCCTCCACTGTGTCTCCCCCATTGCTCAATAATCACTTGCTGCTGATTTGCCTGCCTGGTGCGTGTTCCCTGCCTGTCACTCCTCAGACAGGTCTGCCAAGATACTTGCAGACAGAGGAGCTGACAAAAAGTATCCCGATTTTAATCAGGTCACAGAATTGATAAACAAAAAAAAGATCCTCCATGGTGGTGTTGTGATACAGTAGGAAATCTAGATGTTTAATAAGATACTTTACTAGAGGACTTGATTTTTCTTTTCATGGAAATATGTTAAAAACAAGAAATATAGACTTAAAGGTGTAGTCCAGCTTTGGCAAATACATCATAAATGCACACACATTGCTAAAAGAAAACAAAATTATTATATTCATCATTTATTTTATGATATAATAATCATTTATTTTATGATATGGTAATCCTTTACTTTGTGATATATTCATCATTTAATTTATGACATATTAATAATTTACTGTATTTTATTATATATTAATTGTATCTTTTATTAGCAGAATTCCAAGCACAGATTTTATTGACCCTTGCAGTGGGGTCAACAACGTTTGTGCCTGGAGTTCTGCCGGTCTCCTCCTATGCAGTAGCGATGTTATATACCCTCCCTGTCCTCATGTTCAATACACTGAAGGGAATTTATCAAAGCTGGAGCAGACAAAATCTGGAGCAGCTGTGCACGGCAACCAATCAGCTTCTCTATTTCCTTTTCAAATCTTACTGCACAGTGCACAGTGGCCATTTTTACTAAGGGCAAATTAATCCATCTCTCTTTACTTCCTGTAACTCTGGCACATGTGACTAGGACTTGTGACTGCTGATGTAACCTTCCTAGGATGCAACACTTTGGTACATTACATCACTTTTGACAAAGAGAACCAGGAAGTAGAAAACAAGAAATTGTAAGTAAAACTAAAACATGTTTGTTTAACTAAAAGATGTAAGATGATTTCATATCAGCATGCAGAGCTGCATGCTAATGTGATTTTTAGCCAAAGGGGGTAAAGGAGATGTAACCCTACCTGAATTGCCTTCAGTCTAATAAAGCACCGCGTATTATAAACAATTGCCATTTTATAAAATAAATTACAGTTTTCCTTTTTTTCATCTTGCATCTCGGTGCAACTGATCTCCTACAGACATTTGCCATCCATTTTCTGTCTACATAGCTGCATTGCATTTCTCAGGGCGGGTTTCCAGAGAGTGGACCATCCGTGGCTAATGTGTGCAGAAACGGCCCCACTGGAAGTCCATGGGTGACAATGCAGAAACACATTTTGGACACTGAAAAAGGAAATAGTCACTCTATAACAGGAAGTGCCTGAACAAGGACCTTCCTGGCAGGAGCACTAGGTAATATTGTATTCACCGCTTCAGATATAAATAGACTGAAAATGACTACTGAAATGACAATAATGTTTATATAAGAATTAAGTTTACATACACTGTAAAGTAGGGATGCTCCTATACTTGCCCAAATGCTACCGATACCTAACTTCCGGTATCAGGAACCCGGGCGGTGAGTCATTACACGCTGCCTGGCTTCCTGATTGTCACCAGGGAGCATGGAGCTGGTTTCCCGGCCAGTCACGAAGCCGGGGGATGGGTAATGACTCGCTCCCCGACTTCCTAAATTGACCAGGAAGCCGGCTCCATGCTGCCTCATCACTTGGTGACAACCAGGAAGCCCGACTCACTTAGTAATAAATATTAGACATGTGCACTGCCAAAAAATTTGTTTAGTTTAGTTTCGTTTCGTTTTAAATTCGGATTTGTGTTATTTCGTTTTTCGGGATTCGGGTGTAAAAGTCAATTCGGATTCGGAATTCAGATTCGGACGAAATTCCTTAGCGGTAGTTCGTTCGCACGTTCGTTTCGTTTTCGTTTCTTATTCGTTCCGTTCATCCGTTCGTTCGTTTGCAGCAAAGGGACATTTGAGGGGGAAAAATGTTTTTCTCCTCTAATGTCACTTTGCTCCAATGAACGAAACGAATAAGAAACGAAACGAACGTCCGAACGAACTACCGCTACCGAATTTCGTAAACGGAAATTCGGATTCGTTTGCATTAGTTATATCTGTAATTCGGAATTCGGATACATCCGAATGTCCGAATTTCCGCAAATTCGTCCGAATTTCGATTCGGAACGATACGAATCGCACATGTCTAATAAATATAGAAATTTGTTGATTAGCCTCTAAATGGAGTTCTGAATTTCACTGCAGTCACTCCCTATATGACCACATAAGGAGTGCATTATTTTCAGTGGGTCAGCAGAACCATAGAGGATGATTTACTACAATATATAAATGCATTAAAAAGACTATGGGGTCTATTCACGAAGCTGCCGAAGGATCTGGCCGTAGCTTCGGCCGATCCTTCGGCTAGCTTCGGCCCCAGGCTGCTGTACGGGCTATTCAATAGACCCCTATATGTTGTAGTCTGATGCATTGCAATAGAAAGTACAATGCCATTCTTTTGAACATTGGCAACACATTTTAAATGAATAGGCTGCCATGACATAACATATGTTAATGTATTATACGAACATGCATGTTTTAACATACTCCAGAAGTATAGCGAGAGTCTATAGTATATCTATTGTCAACTATGTCATCCTGAAGAAGGGACGCTGTGTGGCCTGAAACATTGGCTGAACAACACTCGTGACATGTTACTTCAATAAAAAGCAGAAATACTTCTTGCTTACAAGTTGACTGCTGATGAGCTTCATTTTGCATAACTCTGGGAACCACAGCGCCACCCATGTTATCACTACGAGCACCACAACGGTTAATGAATAGGTCAAAACGCTGTTTGGAGTGCAGGTAACCCATCACAAAACTGCATGGTTAAAACTAGGGTTGCACAGATACCAAGTACAGTACTCGGTACAAGTACAAGTATATGTACCGATACTTTTGAGCTCCAAGACTAGACTAGTGAAAAATAAAAAAATTAGGAGGCAGCTGTCATTTGTAAGGAGCACACGGAGCTCGTGGGATTTGTACATCTCCGTTTTAATGTATGATTTTGTTTTTATAAATATAAATAAAGGGATGCACAGATATCAGTTTTGCGAGTACGAGTACTGGTACTTGCCGAGTACTTACAAGTACGAGTACTGATACATTTTTGTTTATTGTCATGTGACAGTTTTTCTAAAACAATAACGACTAATGATTTCAGGACAGTGGTGGAGCACCAGAGCCAGGTCCCAGCTGCAACCGCTGCAACCCTGGTAGTTCTCATGAAAATGCCAAGTATCTGGACTGGTACTCAAAGTATCTGCGCATCCCTAGTTAAAACCGTTGTCAGTTTTTTTGTACATTTGTGTACATCTGTGTCCCGTTTGAGAGATTTCCCTTTACTTCCTGTAAGATAATCTGTCACTGGAACAATTCCCCCAATGGGCAAAGTTTTCCCACCTGCTGTCCTGGTGGCAACTCAATTACAATTATTCATATAGTGCCAACATATTCTGCAGCGCTGTACAATCATTTAGACAAGACAAGTGAGAAACACTGACAAGCATCATTGACATATAAGCATCATTGAGGAGGACTCTGACCAAATGAACTTACATCTAAGATTTTCTCATAATGAACAGGGCCTATTTGACGATACATTTTGACTGTAGCAGAGAGAAGGATCTGGCCACTTTTGGAAAATCATTGTTGTTATTGCCTCCTCTGAGTTTACACATTGCCTGTTGTTCCTAACAATTGAAAAAAATCAAATGAGAAGGATGGAAAATATTTCTCAAAAGAAAAGAATTCTAACAGTGAATGTTAATTGTCAAATCAAATTTTGAACGTCATTTGTCAAGTCTGAAGGTATTATCGAATGTTCTGATGATTTTGTTTGTATGAATGCTTGTATGAAAATCTACCTGTGTATAGCCAGTTTAATTACAATTTCAACAAAAGAGCCCTAACACACCCTCCCAAGCCCTTCTCAGCTAAACTAAGGTGGGGACCCTGCATTCCAACTGCATACATACCTCAGGAACTGAGTTGCAGCTTGCTCTGAGGTGTTGCTTTGATATGCAGAACTAAATTCGCCTCAGCGCTGACTGCTGACTCCGTCCATTCACACCACATCCAGATCATCTCCAGACCAGACCAGTTTGTTTCTGGACCCAAAAATGCATCCTAATGTATCCTTATGCTATTTCTGGCCTCTGTTCACACAACACAGTCCGTTCCAGACCAGACCAGAAAAATACTGCTCGTCTCATTTTGTCTGGTCTGGAATGCACTGGAACTGCAGGCAGGTACACACCATTTTCCGGACCAGATCTGCACCGGATCTGGTCTGGAAAATGGTGTGAGCCTGCCCTTAGTCATGTAAGGGGCCATCTCCCCAGGCTGGAGATGCTCAAGAGATTGTCATATGCAAGTCTATAAGGGCTAACTGCACAGGAACAGCCAGCACCATAGAACATTTCAGCCTGCAGGATGTCAACCAGTCCGCATCTCAGAGTGGGCAGCGGCTGTATTTCAGGGGTACCGGGGAGTCTCTACCTTTAGCTGGAGAAGGCTAGGTAGGGTCGGTGTGTGTTCCTGCAGAAACCACACATAAAGGGTAATTCTACTTTCCCAAGAGAATTTGGAAATCCCCCCGCTA